AGCGGCATGAACGTGAGCTTTTCACTGAGGACAGACTGTTCAGCCTCAGAGTCTTCGAGGTCATGGGGAATGGTGAATATGAGGCAAGGTTCATGGGGTTTGGGGGGGGTTGGTTCTTGAGGGGTTTTGAGGAGGCTGAAAGAAGGGAGAGGGAAGGGCGATAGCATATGATGGGTGAGAGTTGGACGCGCTGTGGTGGGGAGGGAGTAGGTGTGGGAGGGGAAGGAGGGTGGGACAATAATGGGCTGGGAAGTAGCATGGAGCATTGGATAGCGTGAGGGCTATGGAAGAGAGGAGGAGAGGTGGAGGGGTCTATTGTGCAGGTGGACAGATGAGGAGAGACAGATGTGCTGGCTAGCTGCAGGTGGGCAGTAGGACCCAGGAGTGAGCCTGGGGATTGGAGTCCATGTGCTGATTGGAGAGTGGGTGGAGTCTGGAGTGGAGGTGGAAGTTGCAGGGAAGTCGAGGCACGTCCCAGTCCTTTTGGCGGTAGAATCCGGGGCAGCATTTGTGGACTCATCCTGAGCAGAGATGGAGGTTGAAGGTAAGTTCCTATAGATCCCGGTTGATGGTTGCGGAGGGTTGGGTGCCAGACCAGAACTAGAAGTGGCATCAGACCGGAAAGGCCCAGCGCAGGACGAGGTCTGCACGCGAGTAATGGTGGTGGCGAGGGAGGAATGCTGCAGGTGGACAGAAATGGGGCGCAGATTGTGAATGGTTGAGTGGGTTCTCCAAATGGAGGGGAGTAGAGGAGAGTCTAGCAAACTCATGATTTTAATGTCAGATATGAAGCAGAACAGTCGTTTATTGAGTGTGTAGATTCTGCTTCAAATAAAGAACAGTAGAGGTCCTCCACATGTTTGGGAAGGAAATTAGAAGAACAACACCTTATCTTCCACCTGGACATCTTGCAGTCTGGAGGACTCAACACAGAGTTCTCCATTTCCAAATAACCTTTCCACCCATCCCCCGGCTCCCGTTCCATCTCCACGTCCTCCCTTCCATTCCACCTTCTGACCCACCCTTCCAGCCTCCAACTGGATTCATCCCTCCCATCAACCAAGTCATACCTACTACCAGTGTCCATCTATCATCACCTTTTCGCTGCCATCCCTCCTCCCCCTTTATCTGCAGTTCCTTCTACCCACATGCAGTCCTGAAGAAGGGTAATACCTGAAACGTGGACTGCTTCTTTCCTTCAGATGCTGCCTGGCTTGTTTTGTTCTTGCAGCCTCCTCTATCTACAAGGTACAAGTCAGCAGCATGATACAATATTCCCCGATGTGTGTAGTTCCAACAATACTCAAGAAGCTTGACATCATGCAGGATAAAAGTGGCCCACTTAAAGTGACACCATATCCACAAGCGTTCACTACCTCCACCATTGACACCCAACAGTAGCAGTGTGCACCATTTACAAGATTTACCATTCACCAAATTCTTAACCCACCACCACTTTCATTTAGAAGGACAAGGGTAGCAGATACATGGGAACACCATTTCTTGCAAGTTCACTCCAAACCATCATGACTTGGAAATATGTCACTGTTCCTTCACCGTTGCTGGATCAAAATCCTGGAATTGCCTCCATAAGGACATTGTGAGCCAACGTACAGCATGTGGACTGCAGCAGTTCAAGAAGGCAGCTCACCATCATCTTCTCAAGTGCAGCGAAGGACAGGTTGGCTGGCCCAGCCAGCAACACCCATGTTCCACCAGTAAATAATAAAAAAAAGATTTCCACACACATGGTCAGCTGAGGATCATTATAGGAACCAGCATTGTAATATTAGGTTGGAGATGTGTTAGGAGTGATAGGGCTCTGAAATTGGTAAAATAAAAAAAAAGTGAAGTAATTCCAGCCACTAATTCGGTTTGTGAAACTGTAGTGTGGCTAACTCAGTACAATATTACATCTGGGTGTGACATTGCTTACACTTCAATAGGTATTATATGGACTTGCAACTTCAACTGTAGGTATTTAATGGATCATTCCAAAGTAGGATTCTGGAGGACTTGCATGGTTTGGTAAAGGAATAGTGATTTCAGAAAATGGCCTCATAATGAATTTATTGAATTAATTCAATAAATTTACTGAATTAATTCAGTAAACCTCTGCCACACTTGACCTCTTTCCTCTTTTATGTGCTCCGTAATATTTACTTGTTTAACCATGTATTTTGTTATCAGCTTTCATATCTCCTTATCCAATTCAGTTTTGTTCAATATCTTTCCTTTGAATCACTGTGGAATGTTTTACAATATTAGAGATCTATTTAATTACAAATTGTTGTTGTGAATCACCAGATGAAAACATAATTAAATCTAACTTGACCAAATGAAATGTGATATTTGTGGTGGTGTACAGCTATATCATGTGACAGCATAGCTCCAGAAGGAATGAGGATCCCTGATTAATCATCTTTGTGCATCTCCACTGACCTGCATGCATGAAGAACGTCAAAAACAACAGAAAAGGACATGAATTAGTTGTGCAAAGTCAGCCTCTTAACAATCAGAAAATTTCATTTCCTCATATCAGATATGGGTGAAATAAAGTCAGTACGTGTGTTGAAGGTAAATTTTTACCACCAGCCATCTTTGAGTGCTGATACCTCTAACACCAATTATGAAGGATGCAGATGTGCCCGTTATCTCCAGGGAATCCTCGCTGTAGGCAGACTATATGTGGCATGGGGCCTTCAAGCCTCATCCTTAATACCGCCCCATCCTACACTTTGCACTTCTTTTCTCCAAAACTGAATTAAAAAATAAACCAGCAAGCAGGTAAAAATCAGAAATTCACCTCTTGGATGCAGAACAATCAATGAGCTTGGTTATGAGACACATGCACTGAACAAGGACTGAGATTAGATCTAGAGAGGAATACATAATAAGGGGTGAGGTAATGCAGAGAAATTAAGGATTGGGCAATGCTGAAGCTTAACTGAATATGAGGTGTGATGGGCTTCAGAATGCTTGACAAAAAACACTCTGGGCTGTAATATCACAAACTGCAGCTGAATCAGTACTCACTTTTCCTTACATGATTAAATCAAGAAACCAATTCCTGTACTGCAAACAAAAGCTAGGATACAATACACTTCGTGCACTGCATATCTATATATATATCTGTTAACACATAAAACAACTCATTTGTCTTTCAGTCCTACAGAGAACTGCCATATCCTATATTCAACAGCTGCAAAGGCTAACTCAAGATGGAAATCCACAGAGGAAACCTAAGCTGTAAATGTACATGTCTTTTTTTTTGTATGGGATATTGATTCCAACAAAATATTTCAGATGCTAAAGTTCTTGTGCATTATAGATCAATCACTAGAAAGCTCCAGAATTCATTCATTGATTGGAGAATTCAGTAGCATATAAACTCCAACAAATCTGAAGTACCATCACCTTGTTTATACATTACAAAGTTTACCACTGTTTAATTCAGGCATCACCAGTTCATACAATTTTTAATTAGTACGTACTACACAATTTTAAACACTGACCTTTTCTTTTGTGAAAGCCAAGCTCATTTTCCACAGTAAAATCTTCTCGAAACCTGGTGAAAAGAAAAAAGAATTATTGTGAGAAAATGCAGGTTTGAAAACTCTGCACTCAAAGCATTTTGAGATGATGTCATTTGATTATGAAAGCTGGATGGAAGAAAATCCCATTTTACATATTTATTGCTGTTTTACCCTCAGTGCGCAGGAAAAATGTCTTCATAGCAACGTCACTTCAGCATGACTTTAAATTGTTATAAATGCTTTATTTTGTTAAGATTTGTAAAATATATTCTAAACTTAATCAATATTGGAAGACTGAAATTTAATGTCAAGATTTAGATGATCTTTGTAAAGACAATGAAAATCACGAACTACTAATGTAAATTTAAAGGGTTATGCAACTAGCCTCAGTAATGCCAATTTTGGAAATTATGAGGGTCCTAAAGTTTGGTAAATTGTATTCATGCCTCAGGTACACACTTCTGACAAAGTGCACTGGACAGCATATTGGCCAAACATTCGAACGCATGTGTAAATAATGTCAAATTGCAGCATGGAGAACAGGTATAAAACGATACTCATTGGCGTGCAACACTGATTGAAACCAATGCTGCTATTTTGTAAGCCCACCCTTCAGAACAGCCTCTCAACCTATACAGCTAAGCACAACATCAAGCTGTGTGAAGGACCACGCTTCTCAAACCCTCTGTCATTAACTCCACTTACTACAATTATTTGCAGATTAATTGTTGGCTTATTTCTTCTTACCATTGCTTCAATTCTTACACAGTATGAGAGTTTCCTCCAGTTGTTTAAAGTATCAGTATTCTATAGGGAATGAAGGAACATTTCTGCAGACTTTAAGACTAGTGCACAAATCATTTGCGCATAGATGATCTAGAAGACTTTCTTTCTGGAATTTAACATGAGTGGGAGAATGAGCAGAGTCAATGCGGGGTTTAGTGGCACAAGGTAAACTTGAGGGAAGAGCAAGAAACTATATCCACAGAGGATGTTTAAAGAACAATTCTCTTAACAGAATTTCAGCAAAATCTTGAGTCGAAAATATGTGCCCTTCACTAACAAAGCTACTCAATCTCTTCTGACATTTTTCCTGCACTTCTGAAATGTCAAATATTCTTAGAATGTGCATAAGGGATGAGATCAGGAAAATAGCTAGAAATGATCTTGGTTCCAAGGACTGAAATGTAGATTTAGTTTGGGTGGAGATAAGAAATAGCAAAGAAGTCAAGGTTGAAGTGGTTTGTAGATTGGGCATCGCTGGTTAGGCCAGCATTCATTGTCCATCCCTAATTGCCCAACGTGCAGTTAAGAGTTAGACTTGCCTTTATTAGCCGAGTCATAGAATTTAACAGCTGGAAGACTTTGCTGGAACTGCATAAAGACATTGGTATGGCTACAGTTAGAGTATTGTGTGCAGTTCTGGAATCCAATTATAAGACAGATGTGATTGCACAGGAGAAGTTTCTAGGATCCACTATTATGTTACCTGGGCTGGGCAGTTTCAGTTATGAAGAGAGATTGGCTAGACTGTGGTTATATTCCTTACAGCAGAGGAAACAGAGGGGTGACAAGATAGTAATGTATAAAGTTAAGAGGGTCATGGATAGTGTATAGGGAATGAACTTGTCTACCTTGTGGAGGGATCAATGAAAGGGGATTTAAGGGAAGGGGTAGGAAGTACAGAGATGCAAGGACAAGCTTTTTCATCTAGAAGGTGGTGTGAATTTGGAACTCACTGCTTGTAAGGGTGGTAGAGGGAGAAACCCTCACAACATTTAAAAAGTATTTAGATGAGCACTTGCTATGCCAAGGTATACAAGGTTACGGGCCAAATGCTGGAAAGTGGGAGGTTACTGACTGCTATTTAAAGTGAGACAGCTTCAGCTAACGCAGAGAAGGTAAAGCAAGCACAAAGATCTGCAAGAATTGCATGTTTCTGTGTCATACAGGAATTCAAATGACTACACTGTACTGCTTTGCGTTTGCCTCATGCCATGTACTCAAATCAAAAAGGATTCTTTTCCCTTCATGGAGATGCTGAGACAGCATAGACACTGCATTATCCAGGCTCTGTCCAGCATCTTGGCCATATCACCATGTATTCATTTAGCATCAATCTTCTGTCCCAACTGTATTTCAACAACATGGCCAAAAGATGGACATTGGGAAAAATGGTTTATGACTACAGTCGAACATAGAATCCATACAATATGGAAACAAGCCATTCAGCCCAACGAGTCCACACCGGCCCTCTGAACAGCATCCCACCCAGACCCATCCCCCTTTCCCTATCCTGTAATCCTGCATTTCCCATGGTTCATGCACCTAACCTACACATGCCTGAACACTATGGGTAATTTAGCATGGCCAATCCACCTAACCTACACATCTTTGGACTATGGGAGGAAACCGGAGCACCCGCGTCGACCCATGCAGACATGAGGAGAACATACAAACGCCACACGGACAGTCGCCCAAGAGTGGAATTGAACCTAAGTTCTTGGCGCTGTGAGGCAGCAGTGCTAAACACTGAGGCACTATGCTGCTGTTAGTCAATAACAAGCATACAGCATGAACCATTTTGCCACAACAAATCTGATGAGCAAACTGAAATATTAGTCATCAAACACTGCATCATGGGTGGTTCCACAAGTGTGTTGATGCAGATGACCACTGACTCCATGCTGAAAAGGATGTCCTCCAGGCCCTGCACAAACCTTTATGTGAAGCTCATGGTGAACTCCTCTGTTCTCAACAATGAATATAAGATTTCTGGAAGGCTTCCCAATGCACCATGCATTTGGACGTCTGCAATTATCAGTCTTCTTGTGTGTCTTACCCTTTGATGTCATTATCAGAGTCTTCTACGGCAGAACTGGAGCACATCCTCTCCCACTGGTGAGCAGGGACTTCAGTTATCCTTTCCTGCTGCCCTGGCAGCACTGTACTTGTGCCCAGTGTGTCACCATGTGCACATCCAAGCTCTATCCTATCTTTTAAACTACATAAATTGTCAATATCTGAACCTGTGGCTGCAAATGTGAAAATAAGTAATGGTAAATCCTCATCCTAGTCTTGCTAGTCTTCCTAGTCTTGCTTTACTGCCAAAGGCTGAAGTTCATTGAGCTCTTAAATAAAAATCAGATCTGGGTTGTGGGGAGAGGAGAGGGGAAAAAGAGGGGAGATGGGAGCGGGGAGGAGAAAGGAGGAGAGATGGGAGGGGTGAGGCAGGAGACGGGAGGGGGAGGGGAGGAGATATCAAGATGTTTGATTATACAATATGGAATTTTGAAGTCAGATGAAATTTTGCGATATTGGAGAAGTGGATGTGCAAAGGAGGATTAGGCACCATTGATCACAACATGCAAGTAAACTAGGCATATAGGATAGTACTTTTTCCCAAATTTCAAAATGGTAGTCACCTACACCAGCACGTCACACTTTATATTCAACATTTAAGTTAAGCCCCATTTTAGGAAGAACTTTCCAAAGCTTCAAAGGTCAATCTATAACTGCGACCTACAGTATATGGTTACACTCGTTCTCGTAGAGATATGCAAGCTTACCTCCCCCACTCTGCAGATGTCCTGATGCATTTAGTAATGCACCACCTTCTCCTGCTGAAGTGCAACAGTAAATGTGGTTCAACCCATTTGACTATATGCTGATCATAGTTGAATGGTTGCTCGGGTGACAGAGTTTGGCAATCTGGGTGTGACACTACCAACACTGTGAATTGGGTGACAACAAAATAAAGCATATGAATGTTAGGGCTCAGTTTGGATGTATGGAGATTGTTGGCAGGCAGGTAATCAGGATTGGATGATTTGAACAGTGGCTGACGGTAATGCTGCAGTCGGTAAGATATGGCATTTGAAAATGCATCCTTGACCTGAACCACTGATCTGAGATCAGGGAACTTCTTCTGACACTGCATCCAAAGCATGGGAACATGCCCTCTTATCATTATCTAGTTCCACATAGATCATGAGAGTTTGGATGCCACTGTGCAACCCTTTGCCCCTGAGGACACAGTTAATCTCTGCTCCATTCCATTTCCTCCACCAAATCTCCTAACACAGCATCTGAAAACCTGGATGCACTCTTCCATGACTAACCATTGTTCACATATTCCCCAAATCAGATGTACTTTCTAGAACACTTCCAACAACCCAGCTACAAGGTACCTCCTCTTTAAATAGTTTAGACCAGCATTACCAGTCACTTGTTAATACTGGGCCCAGTACTGATGTACACAGCAAATGAATGATTGCATGCAACAATGAAAATGACGAACAGGCAACAAAGATGTGATGTGTCACCTGCACTGAACACAACAGAACCAGGTTAACTACATATCTGAATCCCCACACCAGTTTTCAGGGGCTAACCAGTTTATCCCCCTCAGTCTTTCCATTTGGCTCCAGCCATCCCACACTCCTGTGCACTGAGATTGGAGTTTACAAAGTAAAATTTAAAGCTTAAAATTATTAGCAGTGACAAATAAATTATTTCATCAAAGCTGATTTACTCTAGAAATGCATGTTTCTTATGGAACTCAAAACTGGCAAACATCTTGAATATTTTATGTAATAAGGAAAACCTACATGTCCTCAGTTTTGTTTGCATCCCATGCTCTTTTCCATTCTCCTTTAGAGTTTTTGTGACGTGCTAGCCTCTCTTGATCTATCTGCTCTCGTTCCTTCTTCCAACGGACATACTCCGCTCTCTCCCGGCCAGTCATCAATAAAGTCATGTCCACAGTGCCTTTCTGAGTTGGCAGACCACCTTCCTGAAGCAGATAACAAATATTACAGTGTTAACATTTGAAAGGCTAATATTTCAGAACCAAAAGAGAGCACAGTTCCCAGCATTTAGACTACCAAAGGTTATCATAGGCAAAAGTCTATTGTAGACAAATAACACTAATCATTACCTGCGTCATATGAGTCAATTATAAAGGTGACACTTATAACTTATTCAGTGCACTGGTTGTTTTGGGCAGTGTATTTAGAAGAGGTGTACAGAAGAGGTGTTCCATGTCTCTTCGAAAAATAGGGAAATGCTCTGCAATGTTTGCTCTAATTGGCTATTTAAATAATAATCACAAAAATGGAAATTGAATCCAGTTGGCTTATTTCCTTCTCTGTTCCCATCACTAGAAGTCACTGGACTGGGGAATCGAGCTTTGTTCAGGCTGTGATGAACCATTATTAAATCACAAAGTCACAGCAGATGCCCCAGGATCTCAAGCATGAGTCGTGAGGAGAATTCATAGATGGTAAGAACTTTTCTTGGCCACACAATGTCTTGTTTGATCCATTATTGTTTTACCAGTAACATTTATAGCAAGCTAATCATATTAACACCAACACTGACTATAAAATGACACAAACTGGGCAGCCACATAGCAAAATAAAGTTAAAATATTTTGGGATTCTGCGAATTTCTCTGGCTCTTGTATGAAGGAAAAGAAATTAATACTTCAAAAGATTTTTAGAAAAAAAAAGTCTAGTGAAAAAATTAAATTCAGCCATGGTAACTCCTTTTAACTACCTTAGTTAAAAATCAGCAAAGACAGCGTGCATGACATAAAGATCCTGTTCAGTCTCAGTTTGCACCAAGTTAACTAATCCTCATAACAGTAACAGGGCACTGCATTTCGCCTATACAAGTATAACAGTAACTATACTTCAAAAGTAATTAATTCATTAAAAGGTTTGCATTCAGTCACCATCCATTGACTTGCAGATGTAAACATGTTCATGTTTGTGAGAGTCTGAGAGCATGCATCAGAAAGTGCCTATTGAGATTGTGAATGAGAGGATATAGGAGACTGGAGAACAATGTCAGCCTCAAATGTGAAATCCCGGTACTCAAATTACTTACAAACAGTCACTGGCCAGTTCTGACCAATTTGCCTAGACTGAATAAAGCTGTTCAGGATATAATTTATTCAAGCCTGAATATTTAAAATTCAAATATACGATATTGCCTCAGTTTTATAAAGAATAAAAATGAAGGCTTGAAGTCCATTTTACTTCTGTAAATGATGCATCTTATCTTATCCTATAATTTAGCCAACTAATTAACATACAAGACAAAACATATATTTCGACAAACCACATCACTTGAAGCACACCTAGTCCACAAAGACTTGAAATTCAGAAATTTTACTGAATCAGATATTTAAGAGAAAATCAAAAACTCACTTAACATGCATGTATTTTATGGGTTGTGTCTCCATACACATGGCTTTAAAGTCAGCTGTCAATCAAATCACATTATTGTTCAAATTGGTTTCTCTGTACGAAGACATAAGAATACATCACCCAGAGAAGAGCATGCAAGCAACAAATCATGCAATGCTAATATTTCAGGCTTGTACTTACATTACACTTCAGGGCAGCAGATGAAATGGATTTTTTGCACCTTCTGAGGCGGAGTTTGAGCCAGTCATTACTTTAAATCTGCAGTGCCTCAGTGTTTCTACTCACATATTTACCTACTACTTAATAAATCTGTTTGGCAGTTTCCAGCTGCAGGTAGGTTTAGTGTGCCTCCTTACAAAATCAAAGATAATACATGGAGATGCATGATATAATAATGACAAGTTCACTGAAAAGATAGTTAGATTTTGGAGTATTTTGGATTGAGACTAAAACAGTATTTAAAATCCACTTCTGAATTTCTTTCGCTCAAAGTACTCAACAGCAGCATAACTTTTCTGGAACAGTTTCCAAGCCTAATTGTCCTAAGAACATTAAAGGTCAATTATGGACTGGAGCCAATGTAAATTAGGCTGGGTAATGATGTCAGGTTTCCTTCCCCAGAATATTCACAATGCATGAAGGGGTTATTTCTTATAACATTGAGGAGGGTAGGAGGACTGCCACGTGCTTGCTCAGAAGGCACTGACAAGAAAGAGTTGTGGAGTTTATTGTCAAAAGTATAAATGACAACAGCAGGGATGCAGCAAAGGAGAAGTTTAATCTCATGAGTGATCAAAGTCAGTGAACTTCAAATGTCATATCCTACCAAATGTATCACTAGCCTCATTATTAAATCCACACACCACAATCACTCACCTAACAATAACTTCTACCAATCAAGCCTCTTACCTAACATACCTAGGTTTCTCCTTACTGTCGCACACTTCACAAGTCACAAATCCACATTCTATAGCTTGCACCCTGGTATCTATTTACCATGACAGATATTTCTCAAACAAAATGCACGACATTCACTGTCCATACCTCCGGTTCTCTTGCAACCAGAGGCAGCAGAAACTAATCAGAAGTGGAAATGCACATTTACCTGTTCCAACATTCATGGAGATGGTGGTACTGGCTGGGGCTGTGGCCATTGGCAGGGCTGAATACACTGAAGATCAGATTATCCCCTTCCCTGATTTCAGAAAGCGGGAGAATGGGGTTGAGGAACTTATCAGGTATGATTGAATGGCAGAACAGACTCGATGGGCCAAATGATCTAATTTCTGCTCCTGTGTCTTATGGTCTCATGATTTTCCTTGGCTCATCTACCTTTTCCTTAATTCACAATCTCATCTGACTGATAACTGCACATCATCTAAGGGCAGACTTATTTCCTCCTTTTGCCTCACAATCATATCCTTGTCCCTGTTCCTTTCAGATACCCAGGAAATACAAATCAACCCAGTTAGTACTGGAAAAGCAAGAAGACAAGCATCACTTAATTTCACGGTCGCACCCACCAGCTCAGATGCTGATACTCTGCATAACTTAGAGGGACAGGACAGAGGCATGATCTGAACATGACAAGAACAGCAGAGGAAACAAATTTAGGTACCGGCTAGCCAGAGAATTTGGGCCAAAGGGTTGTCATTCTTAGCACATTTCTAACATAAGGTTAGAAATGAGAATGTTCAATGATCACCGTACATAATTCAGTTCATTATGACAGTGACACTGGCATTATTAAATCCAACATCAACAATTTGGAGTTATCAACGACCAGAAAAATAACTGAAACAACCACATAAATCAAGTTAACATCAGAACAGATCAGACAATGGGAAAACTGTGAGGAGCATTTTGCTTCTTGACTATCTGAAGTGTGTTCATTTACCACTTGGCACAAGTCAGGAATGTGATGGAATAATTTTCCTAGAGCTTTGCATATCCAACAATGCCCAAGAGAATCAATATCATTCAGGACAGAATAGAACTTGATCAAGAAAAAAAGCCACCACTTTGGTCATCCAACAGTGCACAGTGGTAGCAGTGTGCACCATTTACGAGGTGCATTGTTGCAACTTGCCACGTTTCCTTCAACGACACCTTCCAAACACAACACCCAAAGGAACAAGTGAAACCGATACAATGGAACAGTAATGCCTGCAAGTTCACTTGCAAGGAATACTGCATTCAGTTCTGGTTGACTTTCTATAGGAAGGACGTTGTTAAACTTGAAAGGCTGAAGAAAAGATTTACAAGGATTTTGCTGGGACTGGAAGGTTTGAGCTATAGGGAGATGCTAAACGGGGTGTACTTTTTTTTTCTCCTAGAGTGTTGGAGACTGAGGGGTGACCTTACAAACATTTATAAAATCATGACAGGCATAGACAGGGTGAATAGCCAGGGAGGGCAGGGCAGGGTGGTGGGTCCAAAACTAGATGACATAGATTCAAGGTGAGAGGGGAAAAATTTAAAAGGGACCTGAGGGTAATGTTTTCACACAGAGTGCGGTGTGGGTACGGAATGAGTTGCCACAGGAAGTGGTGCATGCTGGTACAATTACAACACTTAAAAGGCACCTGGATGAGTATATGAATAGAAAAGATTTAGAGGGATACGGGCCAAATGCTGGTAAATGGGTCTGGGTCAGATTGGAACGTCTAGTCAGCATGGATGAGTTGGACCAAAGGGTCTGTTTCCATGTTGTATGACTCTATGACTCTAAGTCACATAACACTTTTACATTGAAAATATACCACTGTTCTTATACTCCTACAGTGGACTGAGTAGAATAGGTAAAAATGGATGACAATATTTTAGGAAACATTTTATAACACTTGGCAAATATACTTGTCATTCAGGAAGAAACGCTCAGAAGGATACACTATCTGTGGCTAATTATAGGTGGTAGGGCTAGTCTTAAGTTGAAAGAGTTGATGAACAATACAATATAGATGAGGCCAGAAGAATGAGAAAGTTTAAGAAACTAGCAAAATCTAATTATGAAAAAAGCATAGAACTAACAAGAGAAAAAAATAACAGACATTAAAAGCAAAGGGAAATGGAATATTAAAGTAGGGAAGCCTTGCAACAACTGGGCTCCTTATTCATGGATAGGTATGGTTGCATTGGAAGCTGTTCAGAGAAGGTTCACAAGGCTGACTCCTGTGATGAAGTGGTTATCTTATAAGGAATATTTGAGCAGGTTCAGCCCACACTTATTGGAGTTCAAAAGATTGCGAGGTAATCTTAGTGAAGCAAGATTCTGAGATAGCTTGACAGAGTAGATGTTGGGAGAACGGTACTTCACATGAGGAAATCTCGAACTCGGTACACAACATTAAGATGAGGCATGTCCCTTTTAAGATGGAGGCAAGTAAAAATTTATTCTCTTAGAGGCTTGGAATTTTCTTCCCTAGTTGTTGCTGTCTCATTGAATATATTCAAAGCTGAATCAGACAGATTTTTGACAACAAAGGAGTCAAGGGTTAAGGGGGGAAGAGGGAAGAGGAAGTAGGAAAGTGAAGTTATGACCACAAAAAGATGAGCCATGAACTTATCAAATAGCAATGCAGGCCCAAGGTCCTGAATACCATAAGAAAGAACAGGACTAGTCTTGTGTGGAACTTGTCAGAAATAAAGAAGCAGCATTTGAAATATGGTATAACGCGTGTTTCGTTAATGTGAATTAGCTGTAATGCGATTGATGAATAGTGGACGCCATCTGGACAATGTAAACTTTCTGCTGTACAGGTGTAACAATTTTCTATAGCGATTTCCCTAAACGTGATTTTTTTATAGTGATTTCTCCATAACGCGATTTTCAACAGCACGAGGTCCAACAAGAATGCAACTATCGAGTTATAGGAAAAATACCTATAAAGCAATAAAGGTTGCACAAGATTTTGAAATCTTTGGCAAAGCGTTCTGATAGAACAATTCAAAAACAACACCTTGCAGGAAGAACAAGTCCTACCTGGATGAACACAAATTTATAAAATAAAGAATGACAAATGGTTATGAATTGGGCTTATAAACATATTAGTGATAGATCCCAATTTGGAAGGTTCCAGAGAAAATGGATTCGAGAATATAGGAAGTTTGATGATAAAGAGTAATTGAGAAAGATGGTAAGGACTCAAAATACAGACGATCCTCAGCTTAGTAAAAGAGAAAGGACAAGTTTGGTTCAAGGGAACGAACATGCTGTTTTCATCATAAAGTTCTAAGAAGGTTGAGTGCTGTAAAAACAACACAAAAAAAAATCTGTTGCAATAGCAAAATCCAATAGTGTTTCCATATGAAATACTGCACAAATGGTAAAATCTACAACAAGCAGTGATTGGCTGAAGCTACATAAATGTGTCGTTGACTTTTGTAAGACACATCATAAGTCAGAGGGTTGGGAAGCCTTTGCAGTCCAGCCCCAACAGCTGCATCTGATTAATCATTTAGCAGGTATTCATGTTGATGGTGTTGGATTCTTGCCTAAGCCTAAGTCAGGTCATAGGTATCTCCTAGCTATCATGGGTTTGTCCAATCAATTTCTAGAAGTTGCGCCACTGAAATAAACTGCAGCAAAAGTTGCAGCTGCAGTCCAATTTTTCACTAATTGTGGGTTGCCGAAAGAAACTTGGTGTTTCATTTCAGAAGGTCAGGTGTAATGTAGACGTGAAGTAATCCAAGTCATTGCTCATCAGCCACAGTGCCAAGGCACTTTGGAAACATACCACCAGACCCTAAAGACCATGATTTGGATCAATTTTCTTGCAAATCTCCAGGATTCAGATAGGGGAAAGGGCAGTGACATTTTGTCCCTCAAGCCTGTTCCAATTCAATAAGATTACACTTATTCTGACTGTGACCTCAACTCTTAACATTGCACTCCTTTGTTAGTCAAGAATCTAACTACCTCAGCTCTAAAGACAGCCATAATGAGTCAACTACTTTTAGTCCCTTCAAAGTAGGATATAAAGAATTACATTACTGGCTTCCTTAAATTCATTTTTGGCACCGGATGGATCTCCCCTCCTAGATTATGTGTCAATGCTCTAAGAAAGGTCCCAAAAGCATGTGTGAATGCTAAAGAACATCTGAATATTTTTCAGCAGGTAATGAAAGTACAAATGGACAGAGCAGGTAACACACGTTGTTTTGAACCAGAGAATAGAACGTTCTTTACCTGGTGAACTACTGAAAGCCAAATTTAGTGAACGCAACTGCTTCGAAAGGAAAACTCAGGAGCATGAACTTTATGGCTAGTCCCCCATACAGAAGAAAGAATAAAAAGATGTGTCATGTGAACATGTTCCATGACTGTAAGCATAGTCAGCCACTAGGTGTGGTGCAGATGGCGGAAATGCAGATAGTGATAATGATGATAAGTCTGAGACAGAGAATCCTCAAACAGATACTCATGCGTTTAAGCTGGCAAATGCAGAACTGCTAGAGGTTCTGGGTGAAGTACTGTATTACCTAGCTGAGTCCACATTCACAGATAGGCCAGGTCTGACTATTTTTAAAGTCGAAGTGGGGGAAGGCAAACTAATTAAGTGGAATTCTAACAGATTTAATCTGAGCAAATTGGCAGAGGTTAGGATGAAAACCCAATTCATGTTAGGTCGTGAGGTGGCACAGTTAGTTAGCACAGCTGCTGCATTCGATTCCAGTCTTGGATGACTGTCTGCGTGGAGTCTGCACGTTCTCCCCGTGTTTGCGTGGGTTTCTGCTGGCTGTTCCAGTTTCTTCCCACAATCCAAAGATGTGCAGATTAGGTGGATTGGCCATGCTAAATTGCCCCACAGCGTCCAGGGATGTGCAGGCTAGATGGATTAGACGTGGGAAATGCAAGGTTACTTGGATAGGCTAGGTGGGTCGCTCTTCGGAGGGCTGGTGCAGACTCAATGGGCTGAACAGTCTCTTTCTGCACTGCAGTGGTCTTATGATTCAATAAATCATCAAACTTAGTCAAACTAATTGTTGTTTCTGTCATTCTGATGACAAAACCAGATGGTTCTCAGATATTCTGCATTCATTACCAAAAGGTTAATGTAGTCACTAAGATAGACTCCTATCTAACACCCAAGGATTGCACTAACAGGGTACTTTGTTAGTAAGGTTGATTTGCTTAGAAGAAAACAAGTCCCTTACCAAAGGCATTTCTTTTCACAGATGATCTGGTTAAATGTAAAATCATTTTGATATGGAAAGTACATTCATATTTCAAAGATTTGCTAATCAGCTGACTGCCAGCTTGCATAAACATGTTGCATACATCAACGATGTTTTCGTGTAGAGCAACACTTAGAGTGATCATTTGAAGCATTTGAGAGACCTGTTTGACTGGTTAGCCAAAGCAAATCTGGTCATGTACCTAGCAAAATCAATTTGTGGGACCAATACGCGAGCCTACACAAGCTATTGTCTGTACAGATGACTTACCATATGTTCTGAGGGTGTAATGACCCTCATTTCAAAGCATGTTTTTTAACCAGACCCTAACTGAAAGGAAAACTGTGAAACTGATTAAAAGCTGATAAAAAGACACACAGCCATTCAAGCTCATGTTATTACCTACTAGTGCAATGGAGGCAGTCTGAAGAAAACAAAGGCTGGATCTAGGTGCTGATAACTGGCAAATAAAAGGCATCTGCAGTTGTCTCCATCCCAAGTTCAAGTACCACCATCTCTAGAGATGTGTAATAACATCTCTGAAAAGGTTGATTAGAAAACATCTATAATGTAATTGACTAGCCAGACTTGACCATACAAAATCTGGAATCATACAGACATAAAGAATGGAAACATACAGGAGACATATAGAGAAACTGAGGGAACAAATATAAAAAGGAGAGCATATTGTCATTCCAAAATGTTAAATAAGGGAGTTTCCAGCATACGTTCACATCTACAAAGTCCTCTTTGAGACGTTCCTGACATTTTTGTACCATGAGGAAAATTTATGCTCGGCTACTACCCCTACAAGAAACAAGGACAAAACAACAGACCAATTCATGCCCAAATTCAGAGGGTAGAATGTTCTTTACTCAAAGAAGATTTGCCAATCATCACCTCTAGTATATTCTTTTCCTGATTTCTGCACAATGGTAATTTCCCCAATTGAATAGTTGTGGTTCTCATTAAAAATTGCAATGTATCTTTTCAATAGCCCCTCCCATGACAATTATCAGATGACTTTTAAGATAATTTCAAAAGAAGTTTACACGTAATGCAGATATGCAGCCACAAAAATCACATCATGCATCCTTATATGCATCGGCTATAACTTACCGGACACCCTTTTTCCCAACGTTTCTTTTCTATACCAGACTTTACCATCTCAAAGTCCGAGCCACCCCAGTTGCGAACATTACGCCGGCTGCCCACTCGCTTATCCCCTTCTGGTAAGGGACCTGAACGCCGACGGTCATCCAAGAAATTTCTAACTGGGTTCTTGTCAACTTTTCCTTCCTATAAAAAAGGCAGGTTACTCACCAGAGCTAAAGTGATCCCCATTATTCCCTACCAAGTTCTCCTCTGCAATGCTCTTAAACCAGCAACCTTTACAGGACAATCTTTACTGGGAAATGGGAATTTAACAATTTTTTTTGCCCATTTAATAGCACATCAGATAACAAATGCGATCACATGCAAATCATCATATCATATACAACACTAATATTCTTATTAGAGAAGAGAGGAAATGCAGGTAAATGGAAAATTTCAAGAATAAGAATGACTACACGAGCTTCTTAAATCATACAAGATTTCTTTTGGAGGAGAGTTACAACTGGGAATGGTGGTAAGGTCGGAGAATCTGGATGTTCATCGTCTGGACAGTGTTTAATAAATATCAGAATGTACAATTTTGGGCACTTGCCTGGATAAATTATTTTGATTTGATTGTTCTACCTAGCATTAAATTCAATTTCTCCTATGGCAGCTGACTCAATTTTCTCATAGTGTACTCCTAATAGCAACAATACAGCAACAAAGTTAGGTTTTAATACTATTGAGGTGACTTTCTATGTCAGAAAAGATAGGATTATAAATGCAGACAAAAATAAACTCAAAACCACAATGACAGTAGGAACTGCCGATGCTGGAGAATCTGAGACAACAAGGTGTAGAGCTGGATGAACACAGCAGGCCAAGCAGCATCAGAGGAGCAGGAAAGCTGACGTTTCGGGTCTAGACACTTCTTCAGAAATGGGGGAGGGGAAGGGGATTCTGAAATGGTTCGCGACTGGGAGATGCAGTTGTAGTCATGAACCATTTCAACTCCCCCTCCCACTCCTTGGACGACATGTCCATCCTGGGCCTCCTGCAGTGCTACAACGATGCCACCCAAAGGTTGCAGGAACAGCATCTCATATTTCGCTTGGGAACCCTGCAGCCCAATGGTATCAATGTGGACTTCACAAGCTTCAAAATCTCCCCTCCCCCGACCGCATCCCAAAACCAGCACAGCTCGTACCCGCCTCTCTAACCTGTCCTCCCACCTCAAGCCCCAACCCCATCTCCTATCTACTAGCCTCATCCCGCCTCCTTGACCTGTCCGTCTTCCCTGGACTGACCTATCTCCTCCCTACCTCCCCACCTACACTCACCTTTAATGGCTCTAACCCCGCCTCCTTGACTGTCTGTCTCCTCTCCACCTATCTTCTCCTTTATCCATCTTCTATCCGCCTCCCCCTTTCTCCCTACTTATTTCAGAAACCCCTTCCCGTCCCCCATTTCTGAAGACAGGTCTAGACCCAAAAAGTCAGCTTTCCTGCTCCTCTGATGCTGCTTGGCCTGCTGTGTTCATCCAGCTCTACACCTTGTTGTCTCAAAACCACAATGGTAAGGATTGATATAATGATAAAGAGGTGATTGTTCTTATCTACAGAAAAGGAAATCAGTGATCAAAATGTGTAACTTGCTGTTATTTAACAAAAATCCCAATTCTGGAAATTTCCTGGCCAATCGCAGAGATAGGAAAAAAACAGGTTTAAAAAGAAGCATCTGAATATTTCGTTCAGCTATCAAGCATTAACAGCATCACAACTGAACTGAAATGATACCAACCTCCCATCAGATAAGAGAACGCAACTGTAACTACTATTGTGTAAGTATTATTTATAATGTCAATGGCCTTAACTCTCCCCAACTTTGCAATCTCCTCCACACTTCTAAATTGCATCACCTCTGCCCTCAGTTTGTTCTGGCTTTTTATACATCTCCAATTTTAAGCACATCACCTTTAACATTCATACCTTCAGCTACCAAAGGAGCACCTTATTTTGCATTGCAGAGGTACTGCAAGTTGTTATTGCAGCAAAAATTAACAGTTCACTTGTATTAGTGGCCATCATGATTTTCCTTAACTCATATCTGCATGCATTAAATTGAATAGGTCTCTATCAAGTAGATTTAGTGGGAGCTAAAACAATACCCCTAATCTTAGTGACAAAGGGCATTATAATTATTACACGAATAAGTAATGCACTTTGTTAAGTATTCCTCAACAATAGACACAGGTGGGCTAGTTTAATCTAGATAACTATACCCAAACCAGTAAAAGGTTGTGTTTGTCAAAGGGAAAGAAATTTGTTAAAACAAAGCATGCCATATGAATTTAACATCAGTTGAGGACCCTGAACTGCGAGGCGGAACTGCTCTGTAAATATTAACTGTTTTAGATTAAAGCCTTTTTACCGACATATCTGCTGGCTGGTGCTCCAGTGTCTTGGTAGGAATCTGTGTTCAATCAATAACATTCTCTGCACTAAAGAAGACAATCACTGCTGCAAAACCTTAAGCTTTCCATGAGATTGCTGAGATCAATGGAAAGAACTATTGATCTGGCCAAGTCAACAGGGTGTGTCGCAATAATACAGTTCCATACTGTACTCAGGGAAATATCTGTAAGGCAGGCTGAAGGAGCTAGTGGTAAAGCAGTTAAGGTTGAAGTGACATTGGGGAGGGTGGTCTATATAAAAGCATGCTGCCTCTGATGCCTTCTATGAGGCCCACTTGGTTTAGTTATAGTGGTTGCTCCTGTTCCTACTGTGCCTCTGCTCAGAATACAGTGCCAATTATAGCCTCCATTTTAAACAGCTAAAGATTAAGTGGGGTGCTGGGGCCAATAAAATATGGAAAGAAGGTTGTGGAAGTTGGAATCTGGCAAACCTGATAATCCTCTAAACCAAAATGCTGAAAATGCTGGAAATCTGAACTGAAAACAGGTAAAATTTCAAACTTATCACCATTCATCAGCATTCGTTGACCAGAAATGTTGGGCTTCATTTTCTAAATCCCACTGTCAGGAGGAATTGCAGATTGGTGATCCACACGTGCCAGCACAGGGACACAGAGGGTGATCCTTCCAGCATGGGAAACATGCAGAGGCGAGTACTGTACATGCAGGTTGAAGAAAGATAAAGTTCTGAAGAGTTTTTACAAATTTTGAAAATCAGAGAACACAATTACCAGGCTGTCATCATGGATATGTACCAAGCTCAACTGTAAGAACATTAACAGGAGCAGGAGTAGACAACAAATTCTTAAAGTCCCGCTGCGCTATTCAATATAATCAAGGCTGATCTTCGGCTTCATTTCCAAATTACCATGTAATCACTCAAATTCCTCAATTCAGTGAGTGAACAAAGTCTACCCCTCAACTTGAAATATATTCAACAAAGGAGCATCCAAAACTTCCAGAGAATTCCAACAATTCACAACCCTCTGAATGAAGAAATTTCTCCTCATCTCAGTTCTAAATGATTGACTCCTTAGTATGAGACTGTGTCCCCAAGATGTTCTAGGTTCCCCAGACAGGGGAAACAAGCTCTCAGTACCTATCCTGTCAAATCCCTTCAGAATCTGTTATGTTTCAATGAGTTCACCTCCAATTCTCCTAAACGCCATAGAGCAGGGATCCAATTTACTCAGACATTCATCCCAGGAACTGATCTCCTGAACCTGATGGGCAATTCTTTCACACAGAAGTTGGTTCATATGTGGAATGAACTTCCAGAGGAAGTGGTAGATGCAGATACAGTTACAACACTTAAAATACATTTGGACAGGTTCATGAATAGGATAGATTTACAGGGATAAATACTGGCAAAAGGGACTGGTTTAGTTTGGAAAACATGGTCGGCATGGATGAGTTGGACCGAAGAGTCTGTTTCCGTGCTTAATGACTCTACGTCCTCTTTACCCAATTTACTCACTCAACCAACACACAGCAAAGTCACACTCAATGATAAACTGCATTAGGATGCATCTGTTTATATGTTCTAAGTTAAATCAGCCTAGGTGCAGAAAAAACAGAACAGATGAAGCTAGTTTCCTTAATTAACTAATTACTACTGCTTTCAAGTAGTGGGGTTGTGCATCCCTGTGTAAGCCTAAGAGTTTAAAGTGACAAATAGGGTGCCAATCAAACACATTGTTCTGTCCTGAGTCGTACCAAGCTTCGTGAGAATTGCTGGAAAGGCAAGTGGAAAGTATTCCATCACACTCTTGACTTGTGTTGTGAAGTGGGGTTGAGTACTCGTGGATTGAGAGGCAGGAAGTTAGATGTAAGATGCTAGGAGGGAAAGCACTGCATGGTCCCTTTAAAAGATGACTTGCTTTTCTTATGCTTAGAGGTTTTAAATAAATGTCAGTGAGCAGCAACTTGAAAGTTTGCAAATACGTAGCAGCCGAATTGAAACATCTGTATCAAAAGGCCAAGCAGCAGTTTTTACCAAGACAATAAGTTTTGAATTTAGACAATCAATTTGAACCAGGTACTTAGTTACCAAAAACCAATTAAATTCAAATCTGATGGTTTTGACAACATAGGACCAATCCTATTGTAAGAAACTGATACGTCATCAAGGGTATAAAAAAAGGGGCAGTTGCGCAAGGACAGGAGAACTAACTGCCATCTGCCAGAGTTAACAGCCATTAGCTCTCAAGAGAGAATTGCTGATTCTCATAGACTCCACTATGTCTTGGAGAAAGCGCCATTTAAAGAACAAAGGTATCAATAGCACAACTTGTTAACATTCCTGACAGAAGAATTGGTAGAGAAGGCACAGAGCATTCCAGAAGACATGTAACTTGGCTGTAATTTTGAGAGACTAAATTCTATTGTTTTACATGTTATTTTATATAAGTGGGGCTTGTATTTATTGGAACTGCACATTACTAGAATCTTGTATTATTTGGAAACAGTTAGTAGTTAGAAGGGATTTATTCCATTTGTTAATACTTTAGTTAATTTGCTTACTGTTACAGTTAGATAAATAAATTGTTACTTGTTGATTATATAGTGAGTGTCAGGGGTTTATTTTGTTTAACCACTAGATGTTGCTGAAAGGCAGGTCTCACCACTTTTCACAGTCCTTTTACAGATTATAGGGTGAGGTGCTCCTCTTTGGGAGTTTCTGTTTTAGTTCTCAGACGAGGTTTGGCGGGGGGGGGAGGTGGTATCAACCTCCACTTATAACACTTGTGCCTTGTAAATTGTGAGACATTTTAGCGAGTCAGTCACCAGAGAATATCCAACCTGTGACTTCTTTTAAGTTATATTGATCATGCGGCTAGCGCACTTACCAACTGGACAATGTTGATAACTAAGTGCTTTGTGCTTCCCTTGCCAAGGATGGTCACTACCTAGCAACGTGGCACAAACGTTAGTTGCCATTTTTCAGCCCCAGCTGGCTTGCTACAAATGAACAGAGACCGTTCCATTATCTGAGGAGCTGTAAATGGAACTGAAGACTGTGCAATCATCAGCAACTATTCACACTTCTGACCGCAAGATAGAGGAAAGACTATATTTAAGCAGCTGAAAATAGTTGGGCCTGGGGTAACCAGAAGAACTACTGCTGTTATGTTCTAGGGCTGAGATGATTGGCCTCTAACAATCACAACTGTTTCCTTTTGTACTGCGTAGGGCGCAAGCTAGTGGAGAATTCTGTCTATATCTTCACTCATTATTGCTTTGGCTCTGATGCCAAAATCACTCATGTTCAGTCACTTTCAGCTTGCTGCTGAAATTATGATTTTTTTCCATCTTTAGATCTAAGCTATAATGGAGGTCTGGAGCAGAGTGGTCCTCAGAGGCTCATACAGCACAGAAACAGAACCTTTGGCCCCCAATTTGTCCAAACAAACCAGGTTTCCTAAACTGTACTAGTTCCATTTTCTTGGGTTTGGCCCATATCCCTCTAATTCTTTCCTATCCTTGTACCTGTCCAAAAATGTCTTTTAAATGTTGTAACTCTACTCGCCTCTACCACTTCCTCTGACAGCTTGCTCCATATATGAATCCAAACCGAGCATTGGTCAAGTATCACTTGATATCGCTGTCAACATACCTTTCATCACTTTGCTGATGAGCGAGAGGAGCCGGAAGGGAATGTAATTGACCGGCTTGTCCTGATTATATAGCGTTTCCAAAACAATGATAATTTTCCAACACGACAGTTGAGGTATCAGTGTTGGTGCTGCATTGTGATACATTAGCTTGAGACAGTGCTGATTCTGATAATTATACTGACCAGCAGAAATCTGAATTTCCTTTAGAAAGATCCAGCTTATACTTGCTCTTTTAAACAAGGCACAGTGTCTGTCATGAACTTATAGCTATATGCTTTCAAATAAAATTATTCTTCAACCTTACACAATGAATCCTAACAATTCAGGGTAATATGGAATCACGTATTCCAACTATTCAACATAGCTAGTCTTTGGACACAAGTAACTCAGTTGCAGGTTATTAATTAAATGATTAAAGTATTCAACATTTGATTATTTTTGTTAGCATCTGAGTGTAAAAAGATGAAAATATATTCTAACTATATTAAAATAGATGGACCAATACAGTTGTTTAGTTCATTAATTAGTAAGACTACTTCATTTTGACATTTTAAATGTTAAAACATGATAAAAAGTAATATTTGCAGAATTCTGGAACGTGAAACGTGTAATGGGCCCCTGTGTAGAAACAGATATATTATCGCCAAATGTATTTGATAAAAGATTATCAAGCAAGAGTGAAATCATTCTCCTACTGATACCAGCAGTTCTGTAATTCTTTGATTACTTAACAGCCTTAATTTTGAAGGACAGAGTATTAAAATCAAATATAATTCTATGCAGCCCTTCCTAACGTGGGTGAGTAAGGAATGGTAGCCCCAGTTTAAAAAAAGAGTTAAAAGGCAGAGCATTCAAACCCTGGTAATAATCTAACATTAGTCTCGGCAGCAGACTGAAAATAATATTATTGCTGTTGGTGACACCAATCCCAGTTACCAGTAATGGGAGAACACACAGATTCGTACACCATATTTCAATGCAGATACAGAACCCTTTTATAATCTTCAGATATTGTAAAGCTACCAGGTATTCTTCATAGTACGGCAATGGTAGTGGAAAACAGAAGCCAGCAAGCAGACGAACAAGCCCAGCTACACGCCTTCTTAATGCGATTGTTAATCTCACAGCAGCACGAGCAAATGGTTTGGGATAGGGATAAATTAAGAACCTTATTCCTTTAGCTGTGTTTTAGTTGGTAGTACTTTTACCTCCAAGTCAGAAGATTGACAGTCTGAATCACATTACAGAGAAGTGAACATACAAATCCTTCCTAATAGCATTGTGGGCCTATTTACAGCACATGGACTGCAGTGATCCAAGAAGTCAGCTCACCACCACTTTTGGAAAGACAATTAGGAACAGATAATAAATGTTGGCTCAGCCAGTGATGCCCATGTCCCACAAGTGAATTTAAAAACATCCAGGCAGCGTCTCCAGTGTAGTATGGCTGAGATGTAGCAGTGCAATACTAAGGAAGTGTTGCACTGTCAGATCCTACAGTGCACTATTATACTTTGCGTGAGGCATTAAATGAAAGTTCCATCTTCCAATAGATATCACATGGCATTACCTTTAAGATGAACAAGTGAGTTCTCCCTAGTGTCCTAGCCAATATCTAGTCCTCAAGTAACATCCAAACAGATTGTCTAGTCATTGCATACAGAAAAGTCCCACCAACAAAAACGTAACAAAGTGGCTCCTATATTTCCTACTGCAACACTGACTACTCTTCAATGCTATTTCGTTGGAAGTTAAGTATTCTAGGATTTCTTGAGGTCATGAAAGGCATCGTGCACATGTAAGCATTTATTTTGTTCCAGAGTTATGTAGCAATCTACTCCAGACAGATGATACTATTGGAGAACCATATTTAGGTTGACTTTTCATTGTAGTGATGAAGAAATGCTGTATTGTCAGCAGCCATCTTTAAGAAACAGTAACTAAGATATCATCTGCCTGTTCCAATCACT